TTCGTTCCTTCAACTATGGACAATACCTAGCCCTATAGTCATATAACCATCCTTAGGAACCAATGTGGGCGGGTCCCACCTGAACGGCCCACATTAACCCGCTCAAAACTGCCCGTTTTGAGCATAAACCAATACTCGATCGAGTATCTACCCATACTCGGTCGAGTACAGGAGGCGGTAGCCCCCAAAGCTAATTTTCCATGTATACTCGATCGAGTATATACCTATACTCGATCGGGTATAGGAGACAGGAGCCCCCTGGGCAATTTTTCAGCAAATACCCGGTCGGGTATGTGTCAATACCCGGTCGGGTATGGCAGTTGACTTGGCGGTCAACGCCCCTTTTGACCCCCCAAACGGAGTCCGATTAACTTGAAATTTTATACACATATACTTCTTGATGTCCTTGATCCAAAAATACCATTTTGGATCCCTGGATCATCACACAAATTATGTTACCACATTTTTAATCACCAAACGTACACAACATGCTTTTTAACTATGTTTTATGCAAAATCATGGCATAAGCAAATACTTGATTATCTTTAATCATTCCACAAAACATCTCCTTGATTACTTTAGGTAATCTCATGCCTCACGCAAAAGTTATAAAGCATAAAGCCGTCTTCTCACCTTAATGAAGCTTATGAAGTTCTAGCCTTCCCGATTTAGCTCCGGCGAAACTCCGACGAACTTCAACGAACTCCGGCGGCAACTCCGGCGACCTTTTCGACTCCGTGAAAGTTCCTTGAATACCTTAGACAAGTTACTAACAAGGTTTTATTATCACAAAACCCGTAGTAATACAAATAACCTCCAAAAGGTTATTTTCCGGCGAACCGGTTACTTTGGCTTCTAAGTCCGTTCTTGGACTTAGAACCACCTTCCAACCCCTCTTTCTACACATCCAAAAGTGTAGAACAATACTAGGGGTCCTTCATGTGATATATTGGTCATATGGTATATAAGAAGTTAAGGAAAAGTTGTTACAAGGTTATTACCTTGATTCTTCACACTTTCCCTAGCTTTTCCTTTCTTTAATCCTCCTTAGACTTCATTTTCTTCCTTCTTGAGCTTGGTTCGAATGGAAATGGGGGAAATGAAGATTTGCAGAGCTTCTCTCTCAATATTGATTAGGTTGGTCGGGCATATGGGCTAAGGGGGGAGGGATATGGCTCTATTTTGGCTTATACCTCAATGATAGCAAAAATATGGCCCTACCTTGTCCTTTTGATGTCAAAACCCTCAAGTCAGCTCTTCCCTTCAACAACCCTGCCCTTTGGACTCCCAAGCCCATGCCTTGTCTCAAATAATTTCGTGGGGTGGCCCCCACTCATGTGGGAGGTCATCCCTTTAAATCCCGACGTGTACAATCGGTCCCGAAAGTTGTATTTTCCGGACTGTTTTAAGTATATTTTATTTTATCGGATCAAATAAAATATAACACTTGTTCCCAATCCTCATTGGACCTTAGAATCAATATGCATTCCCCAACTTTAATTTAGAAGTCTCCGGAATCCCTTTTTGGGCTGTTATCCGATAATTTGCCGATATCGATAATCTGGCCCCATTTGACCAACCGGTCATCTCTATGCCATTGCCATGGCCCAATTAGGATATCCATCACCATATACATATTATCTAGTCCAAGATTAATATAATATGTGGTCCCGATAATATCGGGCAGCCCCACATCCGGTGTGGGCCCCACGTGAATTTTACTATTCACGTAATAGAAATGATAAAAATTTACAATCACGTAAAAATGCTTTTATACATTTCTCAAGGTTCAATACATAATTTGGTACAGTACAAATACTCGGGGGCGGTGTTACATGGGGTGTATTTGAGGATCCAATAAATACCCAAGTATTGGCTAATGCAGTGGATGAAATCTTGACAAATGTAATGGTTAATAAAAAAGTTGACGATACACCAGAAGAGGCTGAAGGAGTGGATGAAGCCATGGATGCAGCAAACATCGAGAAACCAGTCGGTCAGAACTGTGAAGATCTCGAGAAGAAGGATGTGGTATGTTTTCATTAAATGCAGTTGTAACACCGTCCCCAGGTATATTTACTTTTTAGTAAATCGTTTAATAAACCTTGAATAATGATTTTGAATTTACAATATTGTAAATTTTTGTTTTTACTTTCGCGTGAATAGTGAATTGCACGTGGGGCCCACATCGGGAGCGGGGGCCACCCGATAATCCTGGGACCACTTGTTATATTCATCTTGGTCTAGATAATATGTATATGGTGGTATATATTTTATTTGGGCCATAGAAAGGACATAGGGTTGACCCGTGGGTCAAACGAGGCCTAATTACCGGTATCGGTAATTTATCGGATAACAGTCTGAAACGAATTCCGGAGACTTCTAAATTAAAGTTGGGGAATGTACATCCATTATAAAGGCCTACAATTACTAGGAACATGTGTTATATTTTATTTGACCCGATAAAATAAAATATAATTAAAACAGTTTGGGAAATACGACTTTCGGGGCTGATTGTACAAATCGGGACACAAAGGGATGACCTCCCACATGAGTGAGGGCCACCTCACGTTTTTTGTGCTAGAGGTTGACTTAAGGGGGGCTGCATGAGGTGGAAGTAGTGGTATGGAGTGGTTGAGAGTGATTGGTCATTTGGTTGGCATGGGATTGACCCTAGATAGGCCTCCCCCTCTCAATCAACTCCTAATTGAGAGTTGAGACAAAACTCTCTTCTCACCCCTCTCCCTCCTATCATTTCGGCCAAGGCACCACAAGGAATAGAGGAAGCCCTGCAAAAGTAACTCCATCATTGTTGTGAGCAAACCAAGCAAGTAGGAAGCTCAAGGAGAGAGTTTAAGGTGCTAAAAGTGAGGAAAAACTTGGATAATTAAGGTAACGACCTTATAATAACTTTTCATCTACTTTTTACTTATCTTATGATTTATATATCATATGGAATACTCCTAGTATTATTCTACACATTTAGAAGTGTAGAATGAGGGGTTGGAAGGTGGTTCTAAGCCCAAGACGGTCTTAGAAGCCAAAACGACCGGTTCGCCGGAAAATAATCTTTTAGAGGTTATTTGTATTGATATAGGTTTTGTGATAACAAAACCAAACTAGGAGCTTGACTCAAGTGTTTCTAGAGTTCGCCAGAGTTTTGTCGGAGTTCACCGAAGTTCGTCGGAGTCTCGCCGGAGTTCAACTAAGAAGAGTAGAAACTTCTTAAAGCTCAATTAAGGTGAGTGGATGGCTTAATGTCTTGTAACGTTTGGGTTAATCATGAGATTACCTAAGTAAATGTTACATGTGTTCATAATAATGTTTAAATGAGGTTAAACATGTGTTTAGCCAAAGTAATTAGGCTTACATGAAATGAACTATTGAAATATGCATGATTTGTGAAATGGAAATGTTTATAAAAATATAGGTGATATGTTTAAAGATAAATGGTGCATAATATGGTTGTTTATAACTTAATGCATGTTGTGATTAAGTTTGACACATATTGGATTTGAAATAACGGGTCAACTGAGAGTTGACCGGTTGTCCGGGGGCAACCGACGCCGGTTTGGTTTTGTTGCCTATATGTTAATTTTAATGCATGAATCGCATGGATGAATTTGCTTAGGTCTTAAGACTTGGACTAGTCTTGCTTATTGATTATGATATACACCCTGTCTAATATGATATGTGGTAGATCATAGGTCAGGTGGAGTACCTAATGATCGGGCGGTATTCTCAAAACTCGGTTATGTCGGGTGGAGTACCCAAGGATCGGGCGGTATCCTCAAAACTCGGTTATGTCGGGTGGAGTACCCAAGGATCGGGCGGTATCCTCAAAACTCGGTTATGTCGGGTGGAGTACCCAAGGATCGAGTGGTATCCTCAAAACTCGGTTATATAGGGTGGAGTACCCAAGGATCGGGAAGTGTCCTTAAAACTAATAGACTACTGTTAGTAGTTCAAGACCGAGCAGTGTCCTTATGATTATTTGATTTGGATAGGAGGAGTCCTATGCACTCATAGGTCTATGGGTGGGTTGGGGTTTGAAGTTAAGGACATTGACTACTATTAATTTTCCCAAATAAACAATGACCTACGGGTCGGGTATTTCCAAGTGTATATAAGTACCGATATGTATTTTGAAACTTGGAGTAAAGATGTATAAGTATATGTATCACCCTATGTTTGGGTCTTATACTTGAAACGTTAGTTACTTTACATTTAGCTTGCTACTCGCTCGGTACTTGTATTGACCCTTTCGGGGGGGCACCATTTCAGATTGAAGCTAGAGCCTGTTGTCTACACCTTTGCATGAATGAAAAGAATCTAGAGGAAGATGTGGTTCGTGCTTGCTTTACTGTTTTAAATCACAAACTATGCTCATGGAAACATTATTTACATATTACTTTGTTTTAGGCCTGCGAGCCTACGTGTTGCCATATGTGGCTTATGATTGACCGTTGAATATCTTCCACTATTCAATCAATCTATTATGTGATGTTGTTATGTATGTTTACTTACTGAGTATGGTGTGAACGATGTTCATGAATGCCTCGTGTGATTAAGAGGGATTGACTTGCGAGTGACGTCACTTGATCACACGACGGTTGTACACACGCTTGGATGCGGTCCAGGGCGTGACAACAGTTATAGTGTTCTTATTTTGCTATTGTTACTATTGTAGTATTATTATTTAATTAATTGGTATTAAACTTTAGGTAGAAAATGTTGAAGCAGAGAGAGTAGAGGTGGCGATGAATGAGCCACCAATTGGTGAGAAATGTGATGATCTCCAAAATAAGGATGGGGTTGAGGTATATTATTTGTCATAATATGCTGATAATATATTGTAATTAAATGCACTTAAACTTTGGCAGAATTATAGTATTGGTAGTATTCTGGTGTTATGTTTTAAGTAATTCATATTATAATTTAGATGAAAGACAGTATATTTGAAGACGTTGATAGAAGGCCAAGGAGAGATACTAAGGCACCAAACAGATTATCTTTGTCAGGGTCCAGAAACGGGAAAAGAAGGAAGAAGGATGCCGCTAGAAATGAGCTCAAAAAGGTAGTAGTGAAAGGGCCTCTGACATTAGACCCAAAACAGCAGCCATGTGATAAATTACAAGAAATTATAATTGATTTCATGTATGCGAGGCTACTAAAAAATCACGAAAAGGCTGGCGTGAAGAAGTATAATGCAAAACATGAAACACTAAAATTGAGAAATATGACACCATTGTGGAATGATGGAAGACTGGCAAGCAAGCCATGGTATTATGCCATATGGTTTCAGGGGAATTAGATAAAAGACATAGTAAGTATCTATTTTCTTTATTAATTTTTTAAACAATGTTAAGATTGAGCATTAATACTACCTTTGGTGATTTGATTTACACAGCACATTGATGTTGTACTATACTACCTGCGAGTCAAAGCACAAGAATACTCCATGAAGCTGACATTCACGACAACGGATTGTTATTCCACAACACTGGTGAAACAACACCATGAGCTGATTGAGAGGAATGAAAGCACCCTAGAAGAGTCTGTACACAACAAAAGTATTGTGGGAGCAATACTTGGGACAAATGTGCCTTACGGGCTACCATGGGCAGAGTGTGAGCATGTGTACATGCCGATGAATGTTGGGAATCACTGGGTTCTACTTGTGCTTGATGTGGAAGAAAAGCATATTAGGATTTATGACTCCAATAGCCGCCTTGGAACACCAAGTAGACAATTGAGTCAGTTCTTGTCCAGATTGGAAATTCATTTAGGAAAACTAAAGGATTGGTGCAGGGTGTACAAAGAGCGTGGTGAACAGCCAATTGGAGATGGAAAACTGGGATGGGTTAGGTATCCAGTCCGCAACAAAATGACGGGTAAGTGCATTGAATTTCTTAAAAATAAAATGTGTATTGGTACATAATTAGCATTGTAATTTTTTCCAAATGCGCAGGGATAGTTGTGGGCTATTTGTTCTTAAAATGGGGGAGTACCTAATGATGGGGAGGGATCCTAATGACGTGAATTCCAGGGACATGTTGACTTATAGGAAGAAGTTGGTCGCTGAGATCCTGCACTACAATGGACTGGTGAATGTCGATGGAGTTGAATGAATGTCTTTAAGAAATGTGTAATGAACTGAAATTTGGTTTTTGTGGAGATGCTTTATTTTGATTAAACTGAAGTAATGCAGTAGTGTACAACATAAGATTAATGCACATAATTACGACATGTAATAATCATTAATGTGAAGCAAACAAACACATACATTCATTTCATGAAAACAACATTGTAGTAATAAATTAGTTTTAGTATGTTAGATATATGTATTTTTCAAAATCACTTGAATGAGCTTTTAATCTTTGAGTGAATACGTAAACACGTAACATTGGTTTTATATGAATGGTAATCATTGCAGATGCAAACTCCAATACGTCCAAATTATTGAAAAAATAATAATTTTTTACAGCCATACATGTAAAGAATAGAACATGTGTGTAGTTAAACACCCACTGGCTAGGAAAATGAATTTAAGTAAACATTTGTAATGTTTGTAATTCAATGAATACGTAAACATGAAATAGAGAGATATCGTTTATAAGCAATGCAGATGCATACTGCAATCCGTCAAAAGAACAAGGAAAATCAATATTTTGTTCAATCAAACATATAATCAAAAGAACATGTGAATAGTTAGAGACCCACTAAATTTGAATATCAAGTGAACAAAACACTTGTAATTTTAGAATGAGTACACGAAAACATGTAAAGAGACATTACATTTATAGGAATGGTCATCAATGCAGATGAATATTGCATTTATTACTGCAATCCGTAAGTAAAAAAGATATTCAAACATAGAAATTTATTAACATCTGTGTCACTTCTAAACTGAAATGTAAAGCATCATTTAACAAACAAATTCAACATTAGGGACGAGTGTGCAGAATGGGATTTCGACATGTATTTCTATTGTGACCAACCATTGAGCAACGTGTACACTTTTGTCGACGCACATGTTCACCAGTAGATGGAATACGTCGCTTCTTGGGTCTTCCAAGAGGTCGCTTAGAACAAGACGGAGGGCTGCAAATGACTTCAAATGTGTCATGGGGAACAACCCAACAATCATGACTACCAATGGGATGAATGATGCCCTCGTAAGCGGAAAACCATTTCTGTGTAGTATAATATTCGGGGATGTAGTCATAAGAAGAAAGTCCAGGACGAGAACGGATTGCAGCAACGACATGAACACATGTGAAGCCATCAAGTTCAAATTCACGACATGTACAAGCCCCTTCTCTTAAATTGACAACATATGATCTTCCTTTCACATCAAAGACCTCAAATTCAAAGATATATGATGACTTGACCTATAAAAAATACAAAAGATGGAACATGTAACATAAAGCAGAAGCTGATAATTTTATACGAAAATAACAAGTAGTCAAGAACGCAGTACACTATGAGTGCAGTGAAGTACCTGCATTAATGCATCATTTGATTGTGATAGCCGTAATTGCACATCAAAGTAAGCAGAGAGCCGAGATTTGTACTATAAATTCAATCAATTTGCAGATGGGATACTCATGCGCCTTGACAAAGACAGCATTCAAAGACTCCACATTGTTAGACATCATGACAGAATAACGGTTGCGGCTAGCATATGCACGAGACCACTTGGCATTACCAATTTTTTGCAAGTATTTACGTATACGCGGGTCATCATAATCAAGCCTGGAAAGGTACTCTTTACATTCATAAATTGAACCCGCTCTCGCTGCTTGTAAGAATTTTCAAGACAACACCTTTGCAGAACCTCGAAATTTAGATTTTATTTGCCTAATATGTGATAAACACAATATCCATGTTCAGCATATGGAAACACAGAATGAACCGCATCTATGCTTGAGACAATTTTTCAACATGTTGAAAACCCATGTCCAGTTAACAGTATTTTCAACACTGCAAATAGCAAATGCGAGTGGAAAAATCTGCTTGTTAGCATCTTGCAAGCATGCTGTGAGTAGTGTTCCTTTGTAATACGATTTCAAAAACGAACCATCAACAATAATAACTGGAATGCACTTCTCCCATCCAACTCTCCATGGACTAAGAGACAAAAAAATTGTGAAATTCTCCATTTTCATTACAAGAATATGAAACAACCAAACCTGGATTTTCTTTATCAAGCATGTAGCACAAAGATGGAAGTCTATCGTACGACTCCTTTTCAGATCCCCGAGCCAATTGCAATGCAATTTCCCTTGCAACCCAAGCCTTTTTATATGACATCACAATTCTGTGCAATCTTTGCATATGTATCATGATTGACTGAGGTGTGTAAGCTCTTTTGGACAAATCATCATATTCATGCTTGATGAGTTTAGCAATAAGAGACGAAGAAGCCTGACGACTATTAGCTTGTCTATTATCAATAGGACATGTGTGGTTGTTATCAAATCTGAAAAGGAACAAGCACAGATAGCATTAAGAGCATGTAATGATGCATAAAGTTAGTGTTGATAATGAAAACTAACTACAACCAAAATTTGGAACTTAACAAGGCTGTCGAAGTGAAAAAACGTGGCTAAACAATTTTAATACAGAAACACAAACATAAAAATGATAGATTTTATTCTTTCATTGCACTGTGTAAATTTAATGCAGATAATGACATCAAACTTCAGCAAAAATATGGAACTTCACAAGGCTATTCAAGTAATAATACAACATATAAGGTCTAAAAATTTTCATTACCCGCAGCTTATAAGTGAATAGTTAGAGACCCACTATTCAAGTAATAATACAACATATAAGGTCTAAAAATTTTCATTACCCGCAGCTTATAAGTAATAATACAACATATAAGGTCTGAAAATCAATATTTTGTTCAATCAAACATATAATCAAAAGAACATGTGAATAGTTAGAGACCCACTAAATTTGAATATCAAGTGAACAAAACACTTGTAATTTTAGAATGAGTACACGAAAACATGTAAAGAGACATTACATTTATAGGAATGGTCATCAATGCAGATGAATATTGCATTTATTACTGCAATCCGTAAGTAAAAAAGATATTCAAACATAGAAATTTATTAACATCTGTGTCACTTCTAAACTGAAATGTAAAGCATCATTTAACAAACAAATTCAACATTAGGGACGAGTGTGCAGAATGGGATTTCGACATGTATTTCTATTGTGACCAACCATTGAGCAACGTGTACACTTTTGTCGACGCACATGTTCACCAGTAGATGGAATACGTCGCTTCTTGGGTCTTCCAAGAGGTCGCTTAGAACAAGACGGAGGGCTGCAAATGACTTCAAATGTGTCATGGGGAACAACCCAACAATCATGACTACCAATGGGATGAATGATGCCCTCGTAAGCGGAAAACCATTTCTGTGTAGTATAATATTCGGGGATGTAGTCATAAGAAGAAAGTCCAGGACGAGAACGGATTGCAGCAACGACATGAACACATGTGAAGCCATCAAGTTCAAATTCACGACATGTACAAGCCCCTTCTCTTAAATTGACAACATATGATCTTCCTTTCACATCAAAGACCTCAAATTCAAAGATATATGATGACTTGACCTATAAAAAATACAAAAGATGGAACATGTAACATAAAGCAGAAGCTGATAATTTTATACGAAAATAACAAGTAGTCAAGAACGCAGTACACTATGAGTGCAGTGAAGTACCTGCATTAATGCATCATTTGATTGTGATAGCCGTAATTGCACATCAAAGTAAGCAGAGAGCCGAGATTTGTACTATAAATTCAATCAATTTGCAGATGGGATACTCATGCGCCTTGACAAAGACAGCATTCAAAGACTCCACATTGTTAGACATCATGACAGAATAACGGTTGCGGCTAGCATATGCACGAGACCACTTGGCATTACCAATTTTTTGCAAGTATTTACGTATACGCGGGTCATCATAATCAAGCCTGGAAAGGTACTCTTTACATTCATAAATTGAACCCGCTCTCGCTGCTTGTAAGAATTTTCAAGACAACACCTTTGCAGAACCTCGAAATTTAGATTTTATTTGCCTAATATGTGATAAACACAATATCCATGTTCAGCATATGGAAACACAGAATGAACCGCATCTATGCTTGAGACAATTTTTCAACATGTTGAAAACCCATGTCCAGTTAACAGTATTTTCAACACTGCAAATAGCAAATGCGAGTGGAAAAATCTGCTTGTTAGCATCTTGCAAGCATGCTGTGAGTAGTGTTCCTTTGTAATACGATTTCAAAAACGAACCATCAACAATAATAACTGGAATGCACTTCTCCCATCCAACTCTCCATGGACTAAGAGACAAAAAAATTGTGAAATTCTCCATTTTCATTACAAGAATATGAAACAACCAAACCTGGATTTTCTTTATCAAGCATGTAGCACAAAGATGGAAGTCTATCGTACGACTCCTTTTCAGATCCCCGAGCCAATTGCAATGCAATTTCCCTTGCAACCCAAGCCTTTTTATATGACATCACAATTCTGTGCAATCTTTGCATATGTATCATGATTGACTGAGGTGTGTAAGCTCTTTTGGACAAATCATCATATTCATGCTTGATGAGTTTAGCAATAAGAGACGAAGAAGCCTGACGACTATTAGCTTGTCTATTATCAATAGGACATGTGTGGTTGTTATCAAATCTGAAAAGGAACAAGCACAGATAGCATTAAGAGCATGTAATGATGCATAAAGTTAGTGTTGATAATGAAAACTAACTACAACCAAAATTTGGAACTTAACAAGGCTGTCGAAGTGAAAAAACGTGGCTAAACAATTTTAATACAGAAACACAAACATAAAAATGATAG